TTCCTTAAAACAATGCTATGTGATATTAAAAAGGAATATTTTGTACTTGCGTTCAATTTATCTTGATAACAGTTTGAATAGCTGTAACTTTGTTTTGTTTTTACCGATATCAAGGTAAGTAAAAAACCAAAATGTCGGGTTAGCCGCCAATTTTTTTCCTGAATGACATGTAAAATAAAACACCACTTTATACATAAATAAAACAACAGTTTTCTGACACCAGCTTATTTGATATTTTTTATCTACTTTATTGATGTTCCATAGAGGGTGTTGGGACTGGTTAGTTGACCGTCCATTGACCACTTCTTAATTGACTAATCAAAAAATGTTTTAAATTACATCTTACAATTGTAGAGTGTTACCTATCATTATCCAATAATAATGTGTATTTTATAATAAATTATTATACGTTTGTGTGTCCAATTTACCTATAACCCTCTTCAAGGAATACCCGAATACACTAAGCAGTTTGGAGAATCCCAATAATAATATCGACTCCATTTGGTTCCCAAAACGACGCGAATTCGAAGTAACGCACACTAGAAATAAATATAAACTTTATGGTATTTTTAAAAATTATTTCGGTCAATTGACTGGTCAATTGTAGTATTTTTTTAGTATTCTAAATACTGCAAGCGACCACTATTTTGTTTTGTTAATTTTGTTAATTATTTTGTTAATTAATTCGAATTGTCTCGTAACGTATCGATTTGCCGAAGTTTTACATTATCACAAAGAATTTTGTGTATCTTATTTATTATGTGCCCCCAAAAGAAGAAATTCATTAAGTCCGAGTAGACCAATACTTAGGTTATGACTCTTGAAATTAACTATTCAAATGAACTTACGCCATCAATTGTTGCCTTTTTCAAAACATGCGAAGGTTTAAAAATAGATTCAAACAAAATTATGATCTTCTAAACGCCTGTCGTCCGAAATATAAAAATGGCGGTCATTCAATAGATGTTTTAGACCTAGGACAATAAATAAATTCTTCACAAAAATTTAAGTACCAACTCTGGTGAAAGAACTATATTTACATCCATCTATGTCATTTCCATGAGCACTTTACTTTCTTAATTATTTCAAGTTGTCATTTTATACCTCGGTCCAGATTTAGTTATTTTGTTGTAAAGCTGGTAAATTTAATTGTTAAAAAAATATTTAAAAAAAATACATTATGCAGCAAGATTTAATCACGAGTTTGTTTAGGCACAAGCGGGCGCAGTCAGGCGAGAGTTTTTCTACGGCTATTAATTTTTGGGTACATTTTTGCAAAATAGCACGAATATCTTAACTGAGTGATGCATGACGTGATCAAGCTGTGACTAAAAATGAAGCTGACTGTTCAAAATGGCCCTCAATGCACAGTTGGGAATTTTAAAGTAACAACTATTTGGTTAAAACAATGTCGATAACTAAAAAAAAACCAAGCGACTACGCAACGTCCTGCAATTAAAAAGCTGCTAAATATGACAAAATCATGGCGTGAAGTCTTTTGCTACTGATAAAAAAACAAAAGCCATGCTGCAACTTTACCTGTAAATCTCATTAAATTTTCCACCGCACATAGTTGGTTGACACCGTTACCGGTTAAAACCGTTTGACGAGAGATCGAACACGCAACGCACGTGGTATGTGAAGAAGGCATAATCCTTTTCCATTGTACTGCGATGGCTCGAGGGAGACGAATGACCGTAAAGGTCGAATACACCTCATTATAATACCGCTTCGCGGTAAAACAATAGACAGAGGTTTTGCAGCTGAATGCCTATCGCTTTGGGAGCGTGAGTTTTAGCTTTTATTAAAATCAATGACCAACGAAAATGTGCTCTAGTTTTTTATATGCCCAATACAATTTTGAGCAAAAAATCTCTAAACAGGTTCACCAGATAGGCAAAAATGGTGTAGTCCGAAAAGCGTAAAAGTAAATCTGTTGAAACGGACAAACATACATATTGAGCAATAAAAATTCACGTCACCAAAACTTATTTTTTCTGCTCCCTTCTCTAAATTCTGAGGGATACTTAGTGAACGTATTCGCAAAAATGTACCCAGAACCTAACAGTCGTCAAAAACGTGTCGTATCTAACAGGTCTGATATACTTTTTCAGTCACTTGTTTATTAAGCACTAGCTCCGCTTGTGCCAAAACAAATCTCGTGACTCAAATACCTTTTTTCTACTCCAGTCTGTAAAATACCTAATTACCCACCGATCTAGCGTGCTGGAAGCGTCAGTTTACCACGTCAGTTTCGTTTCCCATGAATCCGAGCCACTTCGGACATTTCCGGGATTTTACCGCACGGGTTTGGGAGCAATCGGATGATTTCGTAGATATTTCCCACGCTTGAATTTTGACGTTTGTCAATTCTGACGGTCATGTCAGTAAATGTATTCGTGTTGTTTTGCGAAAAGGTACCCAAAAACTAACGGTCGTATAAAAAGTACAGTTTGCAACACGTTGGGTTCATTTATTAAAACTCGCTCCGCTCGTGTCAAATAAACTCTTGAGTCAAATGCCGTTTACAGCACTTGTTGCATAATATACTATTGTCAAACTTGTTGCATAATATACTATTTTGTATTTTCAGAATTACCATAATTACGAATGCCGGAATTCTTTTTGCTACGAATATGATAAAGAGATATTGCCGGAAGTTAATTGCTACCAGATTAATAACTATCAGGAGGCACGGAGCGATAGAGCGATTCCAATAGTCCTTCGCGTACAACAAACACCAAAAACTTACCTGAGTAAATAATAAGTTACAGACTAAAAAATTTCAATATTATATTCGAATCGCATAACTTTATAATAGCGGTGACCGTACATTTCCCTGTAGAGCAAATCACCAAGTATAAGAAATTACTCCACTGCATGTTCTTTTTTGTCCATAATGTGTTTAAATATTTATTATTCAGGTGGTTCAGTGTTAAAGGTGTATCAAATTCGAGGATCGAAACAAGCAATATCAATATTAGATTACGTGCTTGCGAATACGGCTTCGGGCTACACGGATGAATTGGTCGCGGTAGTTTTATTTCTATTTTGATACGCTAGTCTCACAACCCAAGTGACGCGTATTGTACAACCAAATATATAGTGAATTTATTGCTTTGACATTTTAAATATTTTACGATACCTTCACCGCTGACCTTCGCAGGACCCATCCCAACAGATGTTTATTCTGCATTAAGTAGACGGATGATAACGAATATTTGTAGAAACTTGAAATTTTTATTTGAAACGTAAATGGACCGTTTTAAATTTGATTAAGCATTGATGCTGCGGAGTATTTCCGAATCATTTTTGTCTTATGTGCCTGTCGATTAACAACATTCTTCTTCTTGTATTTTTGTGTCTTCTACATAGTTTTTCGATTTGTAAATAACAAAAGTCTTTTTGAAGACTATAGATTATATTCTGGGTAGATAAAGGTACGTCATAGGAGTACAGATAAATCTTTATTAGAATCTTACAATTAAACATTTTTTGAAGGTGTTAGGGTAGGTAGATAAATACCTAGGACGGTCCTGGAATGGTTACGGATACGGGTCTGCTCGGCAGGGTGTTCTATAAGGGGCTGTGGTTTTGGAGTAATAAACAGTAGACAAAGTTAATGACGGGGTCGGTTGTAAAAGCACTATAATTCTGGTCGAAGTATACCGACACTATTCCGATTCATATATGAAAATGAAACAAGTCAAATTTTCTAATCCCGATGATAGTCAATATGGAAACTATTAATAAATCGACGATGTGCTGGAAACACCTTATCGTGAACTTTTTCCGAGCTTTTTCATTATTTTCGTAGCTGCAAAAGGTACTTGGAAAGACCCCGATTTGAATTCATATGTTTTTGAAAAACTAAAAATATATGTATATAGGTATAGGTATTTAAAATGGAGGCTTGATTGATTTCTTAAAAATGCTTTTAGTACGAAGTCAAATACCAAGCCATTGTTGTAAAAAATTATCATATAAGAATGACTTTTTACATCGCATCCCAAAAAACAAACAAAAAAAAATAGAAATGCAACTCCAGCAAAACGAGTCAAGAAATATTTCTTCTGTTTTCGATAAGTTCGATAAGGTACCCCAAAAAAATATTACCAATTTGCCTATTTGAGATTGCAGCAGGAACATTCCAAAATAGTGTCATAGTGAAATTTACGAGCCTATCAAAATCTTCTAGAGACGATTTCCGCGATTTAAGATTAAAAGCAGAAAGCATAAAAAATTGTGTACGGGGCGGCTGTATGTACATCAGTTTGTTCCTAGTTGCTTGGGAAATGGATGTTTCCTATCAAAGGTGCCACCATGTCCGCTTTTCTCAAATAAGATGATTTTGCGTACGCTCGAGCGTTATGGATTGTATCTAAGATATTTTCGGATATGAAATCTAAAATGGTCCTATACTAATAGAAAAACTACAGCCCTAGTTTGAAAAACATCAAAAATTACAGCCTGGTTAGCAAAATAAAAGGTCGTATTCAATGCGATGCACGAAACAAAAAAGGTGTTATAATTGATTGACAAAAATTTTTTTCTTGTCGTCAGAGAAGGAAAATGATCAAATTTCCAAATGAAACGTAGATTCAGTTTGGATAAATGCTTGACGGCGGTGAGAAAGGAACCAAGCTAACTTACTGACTTAAACTTTTACAAGCGGACTGCGAAGCAGGTTTTATTAGTGTTTCATATTTCAATCTAATATTATTTACTAAATGTCAACGGTAACTAATTAGAAACACATTTCAGACAAAATTTTAAAAGTGGTGATGCGGCTACGACATGCTTTAGAATTGATGCTTAACAGGAGTTCATCCGAGGAAACAGAAACAGAGCAAAATAGCCGTCTACCCAATTTTTTGACTGTAAGTATTTTTTTTATTTATCCACAACCTCGCCCGTGTTTAAATTTTTCTCAAAGCTAACAATATGGCAATGACATAGCCATCAGGTTAAATGAAGAAATAATTTTTCTTAAAAAATTTAAAACATGCGGAGCGGCGGAGGTCTCAAACTTGTTTATTTGTCCCTGAAGAACGCAACAAGACGAAAAAGATGATTATTATTTCGCGAATCGAGAAATGGCGTCACTGCCGCCGACTTCTAATGGAACAAGAAATGCAGGTACAAATTAACATAAAAGAGAAGGCGACGTAACGGAACGCTTAAGTATTTTTGAATACCGAATTGCTTGTACCAGAATTTCTGATATTAGACGGATAACGCTATACTATACATTTCGAGTAAAAAGCTAATAATATTACCGCCTTTTGCAGTTCGATAGACCCGAGCACACCGGTAGGAGATCGCCTTCGAAATAAATCCGTTATGTGTTTCGCAACGCCCTGTAAAGGCAACACCCGAGTTCATGATCAGACTGTGCGCGTTTATTTAAAGGAATGCAAAGTTGGGGCTAAAACGGTTCAAACTCAATTTTACGTTATAACACAGGCGCGCATAGGTACGTACATATAAAGTGAGGATATTAATGGTATGCATATTTATAGGCAACTGCTTTGTTACCATGCGAACCGGTCATCCGCGGACTTTGGAGAATCTCAAAATTAATTGTTACGTAATATCACAAGAGTAATTGCTGCCGCAATATATGATAACAATAGCAACATTCGCATTATTCACACGGCAGATATACTCAGATAAAACAATAATAAATGTACAGTGTTTTTCTATACGCCACTCACTTAAATATATATATATATATATATATATATATATATATATATATATATATATATATATATATATATATATATATATATATATATATATATATATATATATATATATATATATATATATATATATTCACTTTTAAGATAAAAAATAAAAACCCTTTTGATCCAACATTTATATAATAAACTACCATTTATTTTAAACAAGGAATCACCCCCTTAAGTTTTTCGCATTTGGTTTGAAACACCATGTATATCAAAATTTGTGAGTATCAGAAGAAAACTAACTTCTTGTAAAACTATGTAAAAAATCCTAACCCGACCAGTTTTCACCTCTTCCATAACGCATAAGCCAAACAAAGGATGTCCAAAATGCAAAATTTCCCAAATTACTATGTATCGAAAAATCCAAAATGACTTTTTTTTTGTGCCACCTTTCATTTCATAAAAAAGTCGATCCCGCAACCACACATACAATTATCAATAAGGGAGCTACACTGTAAAACCTTCAAAAATTGTCCAGACTGTACTAAAAAATTTCACACAATGTTTTTTTTATATTCCCATAGCATCGTTAATGTTCAAAGATTTCTTCAGCTCCTGCAACTTAAAGCGACAGTTACCGCTTTGCATCCGGTCGAAAACCATTCGAATATCGAAGCCACTCAACCGCACATCCTTCAGCGATAGCCCAAGGGTTTAGCCATTCTTGTGTTGTGAAAAGGGCGGAAAAAGAGGCGTCGGTTCGTAATACCACATACGAGTAATTGAAGTATCTACTTACCGTCAGGGTCGCCGTCGGACTGAAAAATCATGTCATTTTCTGTAATATAATTTTTTTTACTTTTAGTTTATATTATTAGTCTCTGAGGTTTTACATCTAAATGTGATGGCGTGAATCAGAATAAGTGCTATTTTCGACATGATGACCTCACATGGCTCTTCCAACTGGTATCTACGTGAATTCCAAAGCGGTGATACAAATTTCAATGCCATTGTCGGACAATACTATGAAAATAATTCCATTTGAAATGATAAAGTAATGCAAATGACAAATGAAGTTGCATTCATTTTTCATAGAAAAATTGTTTACTGAACATTTGAAATATAAGACTAAAATTATTTTTCATTATACATTAAAATGTTGTTATTTCATTAAATGTTTATAATTTGAAAATAATGATGGAGACAAGTACATTTGCAACTTCTTGCAATCGCCACACAAGCCTTAGATTGCGTTGTTTTTTTTATTAGATGACGGATAGTTAGTGTTTAATTGTTTATAGTACTTTGTACCAGCCTTCATAATTTTTGTAGTAGTTTCTTTGTTGAAAACCGAAAATTGCAACGTGAAAATGGGGCTTAAAGCAGTTTAAATAAAATTGAGAAAAAAGAACTTTTATCTACACCCTCGATATCAAACATAAAGCGAATGTGCACCTACATGACAAACTTTTTTTTTCAAAGAATTCGTTCCCTTAAGGATCAGAGCCTTATTACAGTGTTACTTTAAAACTAGAAATAGGTACACTTGATTGATGCTGCTAGAATAGACCGTTTTTGAGGAAAATGGATTTCAATACGTTGAAAATAAGGCTTTGAAATAATAGGTTTGTTATTATTACAGCAGGACATTTTAATAAAAATAAAATGACATAACCAGTATGTTTAATTCAGATTTTATAAGAAAAAAGTCCAAAAATCAAGCCACAAAAAACATTTTGCCCACTAATTTCCAAACACCCAAAAAAAAAATTTTCAGCAAATTGATACGACCTGTTTTTCCCAAAACTCCCAATGTTCCTCGAACTGTGAGATATCCTGAATATTTGTATTTCAATAAGCCCACGTGATAATAATATGAAAATACGATTACCTTAAATCATCGATGTTAACGCCTTCGCCTTCGAGATAAATAAACAGCAGTTATCAGCAGAACAGATTAGTGCACCGAACGTATTTAGCGAGAAGGCGTTCAATCCAGTCGTAAAAACGACGTTTTTGGCACAAAGGCCAAGAGGTTGTTCGCGCCCGCGGGATTGAAAAATCATATTACGGCCCTAAAAATTCGTTTATGCGGTAAAGAAACGGTCGCGTAAAACGAATCCTAAAATATATGACACGGGGGGACGAAACGTGGCCGAAATCGCATTTTCGGTGTGTTTGTGTTCGATTTTGTTGTCTCCGTATATCTCGTTAACTCCCCTTTACCTTCGCCTGTACCTGCCTTTCTGGGGGTTTCGCACGTAAACTCAAGTTTGTTGCAGAATCTTAGTTTACGCAAACTTTTGCTAATTATCAACGCTAAATTTCATTCTAATAATATGGAATAATATGGAACTTGAAACTTTGTTTTTATTTCTTTAATACATTTGCTCATGTAAAGAAATAACGCATATCAAATCGAAATTCAAAACCCAATACTTAAGATTCAATAAATAATTCAAGTTGGGAGAATGATCGTGACGTCATACCGCTACTTTTCGATCGATACGGCGACATGGTATACTGTTATTCTCAGGTTATAGGCCGACAATTATATTATTCATTTTAATTTTTCTCTCATATAAGGTGTGCTTGTATTTAATCTATGTATTTCAAAATAAAAGCCGTCGATTTTTGTTAACATTATGTTCAGATGTCATTTTAGCCTTAATCTTGAAAATATTTTTAGCTCTTCCATCTTGCACCCATCCTACTGATGTCTCCATAGGAATGGTTTCCTGATCTGTATATACTTTAATCAGTATTGAGATTTGCACTAGTTTCAAAAAAATCCTTTTTGTTTTTTTTTCTTGAATAATTTACATTTTATTTGATATACCATTCGAATTTTAAAAACTAGAAAACTTTAAGCCGGTGACAATATCATATTGGTTTAAAACTAGTGGCAAAATTTTCTATAAACATATCTTCTATCTTACCACCTCAGCAAAAAAAAAACTTTCGGTGTTTTATATGTAAGATGTCACCAACCATATCCACTGAAGGTAAATTATCAGTGATGAAAATAAGTAGCCTGAAATCTGGTGCCTCAGCAGGTCTGTGAAATACAATGCTAGCATGAAAATCCGGTGTATCATTTGAAATTGCGATTTGCTCCAGGAGACATTCCATATGTTCTAGTTATTTCTCACTCCTTAGCGCTGCTTCGTTCTTTGCTTTACGAAAATCAGCTCAGTAAATCAGCTCACCTAATTTACAACGCTCCAATTAAATCTGCCCAAAATAATTTACTAAACTAATACCTCGAATCATGCATGGAAATGGACAAAGAAAGATTTAGATCGTCCGATGCAATTCAATCGGGTCAAATCTCTACATCTATACCGATAATTCCCTCGTTTACATACAACTATGCATTAATTAAGCGTGCGGAAAATGTCACTTTAAGACGTCATCCATGTTACCCACTATTCCGCGTCCGCGTCCCTTAGGACGTTTCCGGTATATTTCAAAAATTTTAGCCGTGATATTTTGAAGTTCGTCAATTCTGATGGTCATATAGCTACTAAAGATGCATATGCTGATACAACAGGAACGTATGAAGCAGCTGTGAAAAAAAAAATAGGATAAAGTGCAGGTTAGTGGGTTAAGTGTAGAGGCATGTGCGGAAGATCATTCCCATCTCAACGAAAATATGACGAGCTACCTGGGGAGCATTTTTTATCATAGTAAGACCACAATATTATCTAATAGCAATACGCACTCAATGAATGTATTCTAATTGTTTTTAAAAAATGTACACAAAAAATAAGGATCGTAGAAAAAGTGCATGCAACACGTTAAATAAACTTCTTCAGTCCAAATGTGCTTGTAACTAAAGTGGCACTTGTTGCACAATATAAGGCACTGAACATCACAAACCAATCAAATATAGAACCATAAAGGAGACCCATAATAATAAGAAATTACAGCAAGCAGAATTACAAACTCCATTGTTTGTCTTTATAAAGCATTTCCAGAAGGGATCGCTTGAAATAAGCACAATTATTTTGCGTCTTCATGCACAGACTTAACATTAAAACGACATTATTGCATAACATAGTCCAGGTATTAAACGAATATATATATATATATATATATATATATATATATATATATATACATATATATATATATATATATATATATATATATATATATATATATATATATATATATATATATATATATATATATATATATATATATATATATATATATATATATATATATATTCAGTAACGACGATGATATCAATAGAGACAAATACATATTCTCCACTGCATTTCCATTGACTGTTCGTTTGCTTATAAGAGAACTCTAAAAATAACAATGACAACCTGGTATCCATTTCTAGCTCTTATCTGCCCCTTTCTAGAAAAATATATTGTTATTTTCAATAGTGATTTTTACGTTACCATGCGAGAGGATATTCCCTTTACGTTATAATTTAAAGTCAGTGTCGCTAGGCAAATCGCAGCTCTAGTTATGAATAACTTGCAGTCTCTCCTTTTGAAATAATAAATAGCAAATAAATCGTTTTCACAACTATCTCCATTTACTCGTTCCTGTAAAAATACGGCAAAAAAGTTCGCAAAAAGGTTTAGCGAATACTCTCTGTAAAATGAAAATCGCCCAAAAATTATATAAACACGGAACTTTAAACGAAAAACATTCCAATACCGAGAATGGCTTTTAGATTTACCGAAAATCTCCATGAAAACGGAATTAACAGAGACATAAAAACAGGAAAACGTTTTAATTTCGTTCCAATTTATCGGACTCCCAGTTGGAGTCGATTTTTTGTCCCACAAAGGGCGGCACAACATCCAAGTTAGATTGAAATTTTAGTCGCGAATGAATGATGAAAGGTAAATTTTTAAGACGATACGACGTTTTGGGAAGCATTAAGCATTTAATTCTGTAACGGGGCAAGACGAGACGATACGCGACTGACCAAAAGTTTTGGTTCGTAAATCAAAAGCCAGTAACGACTACTTAGTAGCACGATTTCAAAAGTACTCAAAAGAATTGTCAAAAAATGAATAAGAGCGTTTAAAGAAGAGATTCAGATGTTCTTATAAAACAATCGGGTTTCCGAAAATATTGCAGTTGCATTAAAGCCTTTATCATGGATGACCTGATAAGATGTATGGAGAAAAGTAAATTTACTACACTCGTTATGGTAGAATCGCGGGTAGAATACTCAAAAGGATGAAGGGATTTAACCAACTACACATTTTGAGTCCATCACAAGTTAATACTAAGTTAAATTAAATTTAAATTATATTGGTGTTCTGGTTGACTGGAACGTTTCCGGTGTGTTAAACTAAAAGCGGATATCAACAGTAGGCTTCCATCAGCAGGTCCAATGCTTTCGTCGCTATTGTCCACAAGTAACAATTTATTCAAAATGAGGATAAAAATTCCATGGTTCAACTTTGCTCTATGCAATGCAATGCATAAAATGCATACAATTTCAAGCAGGTAAAATGCTTTTTGGAGACAGGGAGAAAACGATGCAGAAACGACATGAAGTTCATTAACGATATCTTCCTTAAATTTTTAGAAATAGTTTTGTAATCCAGAGATAATAAGTCACCTACTTTTTTTTCAAATACACCAGTGGCGGGCGTACGGAATTTCACTTGATATTTGCATTCATATATGAACAGATTTGATCTTTTAATATTTTTTTAGTCCGTCGCACGGGTTTCACTTAAAAATAAAAACTAATTTAATTTAATTTGGGGATTATAAGAATATTTTTTTTAAGAGAAATCAGTGGCGTACCATCAATGTCTGCTAAAATAGACAAGTGAA